AGCTTTATGCATTAAGAGCTGGATTTATAATGTTTACTGACACCCAATGACTGATAGTGATTAATAAACGCCAGTCACAATTAAACTATTGTATGATACTCCAAAACCGTGTAGTGAGGGCTTATTACCATATAGCCGGAAAATTTGGCGGTCTAAAACTTTGGCGGTTTTGCATCAAAACTGTCTAAATATAATATTGGCGGTCATTTAATTTGGCGGTTGACTATCTTGTCTTTTCTTTAAGCACACTCAGCTCTTCTTCAAGCTGCTCCTTGGCAGTCCTTGTTCACAGTCTTGACTCTGTGACTGAAATAGTGAGAAATACTGCCATTTTTTAGTATAATTAACCCGCCCATAAAATTGGAATTATTATTGGCAGTTATAATATTGGCAGTTTTATTTTGAACCGCCAATCCGCCAAATTTAATTCTCCGCCAAATTTTCCGGCTATACGGTATTACCTTTGTTTTAAATTTATTTTATAACCTCCGTAGATTCACAATACAATAGTACTGCACTAGTAGCATCAATTGAGTATTAAATTTTTATAGTGCTTGCCTCATTTGAAAAAAATTAAAACGCTGTATGCTTAACTTTTTATATTTAAAGTAATTTTATTATAAATTGACAGCCAAGAATATGATATGAAATGTAATATTAATTATATATTATTGCATGTAGTAGAATAGCACTGCATGAGTTCTTATCAAAGTTCTTGACTTAGTTGAGTCCTGACTTATCAGCTTAGCGATAGCTGGCACAGTAAAAATAGCCATAATTGTAGCCATTTTTAACAGCTTTATCAGGCTCATTTATGGCTAAGTTCCTACATGAACTAAAGTGATGAGCCATTTCATCTGCATAGCCTAAAGCTTCAGCCCATACATTCATTAAATGTATCTCCTTGGTTTCCCAAACACCATAACAATAATCTGGATCTTCATAATAGCTTTGACACAAATAGACAGTAGTGTAAGGTTTAGTAGGATAGCTTCTGTATGTCCAGGTTATTGCATCATGGTTGACACATACCCAGCTATCATAGGCATCTTCATACGTGACGGTGTTATCTGTGAGTCCAGTTTTAATTCTTTTGAAAGTTTCTTTGACTTGATTTTGTCTATCAGAAGTTGGGGCACCAAACCATCTCCAGTAATAAAAAGTGTAACCGACTCTACTTATAGCTTTGTCAATCTGACTGCAGAGTCTCTTGTGAGCATTCAATGTACCCGCAATGTGTTCGTTAGTTGTAACA